TCCGCTGCTGGTGCATGCTGCTGCTGCTGCTGCTGCTGCCGCTGCTGCTGCTGCTGCTGTTGCTGCTGCTGTTGCTGCTGATGGGGATGTTGCTGCTGCTGCGGGGCTGCTGCGCAGGGGTGAAACTGCTGCTGCGTTAGCCCTTCTCCGTTGTGTGGCAACGCAATAGCAGCAGCAGCAGCAGCAGCTGCAGCAGCAGCAGCAGCAACAGCGCGAGCAGCAGGAGGTGGGTGTTGCGGTGTGCAGCTGCGTTTCTGCTGCTGCTTCCTTCTTCTTTCTCTCCTTCTATATCAGCTGCAGCAGCAACTTGCTGCCTGGGGCTGGAGCTGCTGTACCCATACAAAACCTGGTTGCTGCTGCTGCTGCTGCTGTTGCTGCTGCTGCTGCTGCTGTTGCTGCTGCTGCTGTTGCTGCTGCTGTCGGCTTCTATGTTGGGCTATATAAGACCGAAGGAAAACAATTAAAATGATTAAAAGCAGAAAACAAATTAATAAAATTCAGCAAAAACAAAATAAAGAAAAACAAACACAAACACCTCTGCCTCCTTTCTCCTGTGTGTCGCGATAACACATTAAACCCTGCTGCTGCTGCTGCTGCTGCTGCTGCTGCTGCTGCTGCAGCTGTTGCTGTTGTTGCTTGTGTTGCTGCTGCTGCTGCTGCTGCTGCAAAAATGCAACACAAAGCAGAGAAGCTGAAAGTTAAAGAAATCAAGACAAACAAACAGCCCCATTGGCAGCTGCCGCATGCAGCAGCAGCAGCAGCAGCAGCTGCTGCTGCTGCTGCTGCGGTGGAGGGGAGAAAGGCGCCATAAATTCGTTAAAATTATTTTATAAAGTTTTAAAAATAATAAAAATAATAAAATTGATTATTTTCTTTTTATTTTTTCGATAATATTTACACAACATACACCCGGAGCTGCCCCCCCGCTCGCCGCCGTCGGCTCCTCTTTCATGTGTGAGCTGCCTATACACCCCAAACATGGGGGTGTATATAAGAAAAATAAATAAAAAAATAAATTAATTAAAACTATAAATAATAGAAAGTGATTATAATAAACAAATACACATACAATAAACTATATAACTATATAATTTATACATAAATAAACAAAAACAGGCCCCCCCCCCCCTTTTT